CCATAGGGAACTCCACCGAACGCGCCAGATGCTACCGCCCGCATGCGTCCCCCACACCCACATGGGCACACCCTTCACACGTCTCATGGCCCCATAGGGAACTCCACCGAAGGCCGCAGCGCCACCGACTGCATGCATCCCCCACGCCCATTCCGGCACACCCCTCACAGGTTCCGTGGCCCCACAGGGGGCTCCACCAAATGCGCCAATGGCCGCAATCGCATGCGCCCACCGTTCCCATTTCGACACACCCATAACACGTTTCGTGGCCCCATAGGGAGCTCCACTGACGGCCCCAATGGCTTCGTTCGCATGCGCCGACCGCACCTATTTCGGCACGCCTGTCACGCGCTTCGTTGCCACATTGGGAATTCCACCGGCGGCCCCACTAGTTGCTGTCGCATGCGCCCACCGGACAAAATTTGGCAGACCCCTCAAACGTTTCGCCCTACAGGGAGCTCCTTCGAATGCGGTGCATACAACGACGGTACTCGCAACTGCATATTGTTGGGTCCTTCGCCATGCTACTTTTTGTTTTGAATTCCCCCTTGCAAGAATTATGTGGTGTTGGGTCCTCGTGTTGAAATAATGGCCCTTGCGTGATATAACTTCTTTTCCAATCATTTGCTGCATGACAGGAGCTCAGCTGAGTCGATGAGGAGCGTGATGAGCCACGCTCAAATCAACCCTGCACGGATCACGGGCTTGCACGTGCACACGACAGTTCTTTAATTCGACGCTCTTTGTATAAGTGAGGCAGGAAGGGCTGGGTTCGGGCGGGCGCCGAAAAGCTACATGAGGGGGGACGGAGACTGGCGTAATATCAATGTCGCACAGAGCTCACCATCATATAACTTCTTTTCCAATGATTGCTGCATGTCTGGAGCTCAGCTGAGTCGATGAGGAGCGTGATGAGCCACGCTCAAATCAACCCATATTCAGAACAACATACCCACATCCAGCACTGCAACTGGGTCACCGTAGAAGATTCCATTTTCTCGAAGTTCGCCGGAGAGCATAGGCCATGAAGAGGTCATCAGCCAAGATGTCCGCCAATCTGCGAGGGTAGGCCGCCTTGGCGGCTGTGAAGAAACCGCCTCCCACTTTGGTTCCTGACAGGTTCTGACGCGGCTTGCCTGAGAAGTCGCACGCGCCACGGCCATGGCAGCGAAGACGAAGCAACTTACGTGAAGCATGCATGTTAAAAAATATGAGTCGCGTTCTTGCTCTGAAAGGACGCCCGCCAGCGCAGTAGTCCACGAAGTAGTCAGTGGGGCAGAACTTTCCCGAGAATCTCTGACGGGACGGCAGGTCCCACAAATAGCTGGTGTTCGGATTTTCCTCGCCTCCTGGAATGTCTCGCGCGGCAGCAAGTTGGAGAAGACCAAGTGTCCTTGCAGCGAGTACATTGGATTGCTGCAAGGTCTCCAAGTCGCGGCCCTCGAGGTTCGGAAGACCTTGACGGAACTCTGGGCTCCTCGGGGCACGTGGTAGCCGAGAACCAGGAGGCCCACGCCGAGCTCGTGCGAGGCCCCCGCAAGGAGTCCCAGACCAGATTGCAAGCACCAGTCCAGACAAAATCCAACCCCGCAGGCGGGAGTAGACGTTGTGGTTCAGAAGATCCATATGTGGTCCTTGGTTCACGTCGAATGCCAACACCGCCACGCCTTTGCGCCTCATGGACGCGGTGAGCTCGCCAGAACCCGCGAGGAGCTCGAGGAAGAGCCTGAACCGGTTACCTGGCCGAAGAGCCTGGTGAAGCGCAGCCTGAAGTTGTGTTCCACGCGATGCATGAGATGCTCGAGACGGTCTCGCACATGCTGAGGCAGAAGTTGCAGCTGCAGTCCGACTCTGCCGTGCTTGTCGTACCTGGCCACACTGCTGTGACCTTTCCACATGCCCCGGCGCTGGACCTCCTGCAATGGGCGTCGCCCTGCTGCTCGATCGTGGCTGGCCCCACCGTGCCTGAAGCAGCGTGGCGTAGGCTGCAGGACCTGGGCGCCCAGATCCTGAGCCGCTCGGTCGAGCAGCGAGAGGAAGACAGTGTACGAGACATTGACCACGTGCTCCATGGGCTGCGAAGCGAAGGCCTCCTTGAGCAGCACCAGCAGCATCCCCACCCAGCGGTGCTCCGGCAGATCGAAGGCGATGCTGCTGTCCATCTCCCCTGTCTTGGAGGGGACCTGGAGCTCCGAGGCATTGAGAACAACGGTGGGGCAGCCTGCCGCCCCAGCCGAGTGGCGGTCGGGCGGCGCGATCTGGAACATTCGCAACGCGAGCAGCTCCCCGACGCGGCAGTAGTATTCGAACGTGACCAAGCACCCCAGTGCCGCCCTCTCTTGCCCATAGTCCAGCAGCTTCGCGGCGATGGCGTAGGCGGCTTGCCTGGGCAGCGGCGGCCGCGATGCAGGAGGGCCGAGCCGCGTCCAACCTCGCATTGACGCGAAGGCTTGGGGGAAGAGCGTCCGAGTAGGCCCTCCCAGATGCGGCAATGCCCACAGCGGCGCGTAGAGGACCTTGACGGTCGCCTCCCTTGAGCGCCCCTCGTCGCGGCGGCTCTCGATAAAGTCGACCAGGGTGACGTCCCGCACCTTGGCCGAGAAGCGCGGGAGCTCTCGGCGCTGCATGAAGAAGGCCAGCTGCTCGAGGATGCCCAGGTAGGCCAGCTGCGTGGCCTCGCGAACGCGGTTGGCCTGCAAGCCAGTAAGACGAGGCACCAGACGATGTAGAAGGCGCTGCAATTCCACGTGATGCCGTTGCTCTCGGGGGCCCGAGCCCGGGCGGCGCGCCGAGGCGGACGCGCGCGGCCAGGCGCGCGGCGCATCGCTCTGCGGCTGGGTGGCACACTTGACCCCGCAGGATCCCCAGCGGCCACCAGCGCCCCGGACGAAGGCCTCGGGCGAGAGGGCGGCGGTATCTGACGCGAAGCCGGAAGCCCCGCCTGCGTAGCTGAACGACGGCGAGGAGGCGTTGCCCTCATCATCCTTGAGCCCAGAAGCTGGCAGCAGCCCCTGTTCCACTTCGGCATGTACCGACGAGACGGCTTATCAGCAGCATTTCTCTCCGAGGGGATCCACCTGTGGGCCAGCTTGAAATCCGAAGCCAGACTGATAGCCAAGACCTCCCGACAGATAGAGTTTAGCTTGAAATCTGTAGCCCGCCCTTTACATAGCGCACAAATGAGACTCATATTGTCCCCCGAGAAGACGAGCCGACGAGAATGACACCGACTGTTTCGAGAGGCGCGGTGCGCTCCGTGGAGCAGAGCAAATCCATCCAGCAAATGAATAGGCAGGCTGGCAGAAGCGGGCCTGGCTGCGACCGTGACCCAGGCGGCGTCTCTCAGAAGTCCAGGATCAACCTCGGTAAAGCCCGAAACCGCACCAGCCGAGAGGATCGTGTCCCGATCTCGTGGGATCTTGAAGTCGTCGTCGACATCGTCTAGATCCGTGAGGTCGTCCCGAGGCCGACGGTTGGTAGCCAACAACCCCTTCCACCTTGATCGATCGTTCAGCCGCCCGATCCGCCCTGACTGCGATGCCGAGACCGACGTTTCGCAAATGCCATATCCCCAGGGACTCGCATCATAGGAGGTGATCAAAGGAGACCAAGGCCGTGTCATGTCCGCGGTCACCAGCGGCAGCAACAAGCGGCACCACCGGAGCTCCTTGCGGACCGACGGCCAGAGGGGCGCCCGGCGCAGCTTGGTCTCCTGGGCGAAGGTGAACGACGCGTACAGGAGCGAGAGCATCTCGCGGCGGAGCAGGAAGCAACTGACCAAGTGTCCCAGCAGCCGCTCCATCTCCGCGCCGGTGAAGCCCTGGCTGGACGAGACCACGTAGTCCAGCGCCCCCTTGATCTTCCAAAACTTGCGAGCGCTGAGGGCCCAGGTGGCACGGTGCTCGACCAACGAGAAGCCAAGAAGGTCGTGCACCCCAATGGTCCCAGAGTTCCGGTCCATGTCAGCTTTGACCCCAGCATCCGCTAACGACGTGATCATATCAGCAGTGGCCGCGTCTGGCCAAGCCCGTGTAGGACCGATGGACGCAAAGTTGTCGATGTAGAGTGTCTTAGCCAAGTGCGAAGCGCTGATCGGCTCCGTCAGCACCTTGTCCAGCGCCCAGGAGTCGAGCGGCCTCGCACCCTTCAGCAGCGACATGTGCGCCTGCTGCACGAGGTGCACGGCCCAGGCCCATCCCATGGGCACAACGCGAGATTGACATTGAATGTGGCCGTTGGTGGCCTGCTGGCTGACCTGGCCACGCACGCGCCGAGGCAGAAACCGAAGGTCAACAGACTTAAGAGCGAAGAACGGGCGGAGGTTGGACGGCAGCTCGTACTGGTAGAAGCCAACCTCCACATCCGCGCTAGGTGCCACTACCCTCTGCCCAGCGATCGACTCGCCAATCTCAAAAGCAGCCAGAGCCTCACCAGACGGCAAGGCGGCGAAGGGCGGCACCTCGAAGTGTGCGTTGGAGCGCCTCGTGCAAATGAGACGTAGACGCCCATCCTTGCGGGGAACGAGGAAGGGCCCACAAACCTCCTGCGGCGACTCGCGCACCTCGATAGCCCCAAGGTCATGCAGCTCCCCCAGGAAGTGCCCGTAGTCGGCGCCACCCTTGCCCAAGTTGACGTCCATGGCCGGCACCCTGGGAGCATCTAGAAGAACGTTGTCGCGATCACGATCAGAGCGAAGGAGACCCTGACCACTTACAAAAACTGACTGCAGCTCAGGCCCAAGGCAGTTCAAGAGAGACACGCCTCCAGCCTTGCCCTGCGGTGGTGAGACTTCACCACGTCTGTTAGCAGCGACCTTGCCATCGAGTCCGCATAACCGCACCTCGAACCCTGAAGCGCCCTGAACGCTCCGTGGGCATCAAAATCGGGAGGCGGAGGACCCACGCGGCCATAAGAACGAGCAAGGTGCCGAACTGCAAGCTGTTGCGGTAGGGAGAGGCGACGATGAGGATCCGCTGTCTCTCCACGACCTCCGAGCTCATTCAGGGCCTCGATGCCCTCACGCAGCCGCCTATCTCGTGCGCGCATCTGTCGGGGCCGACGCGAACGAGGCTGAACAGGTCCAGCAACCTCTCCGCGCAGTTCCTGACTGAGGGCAGCCCCCAGCGGCAGCGGCAGCACGTCACGCTGCACCTCCATGATCTCGATAATCGCCAAGCGCACCACCACCGCAAATGCGCCTCCCCTGTGGGGAGAGCCCAACTGCCCGGGGGCGACGGTGGGCAGCCGGATGAAGAGAGAGGCGAAGCGTCAGCTCCGCCCGCGACCCAGCCCCCTCCCACGTCCTGGAGGCTGGGTCTGCTGCGGGGGCTGCTGGGCGCCAGATGCCGCGGCGCCAGAGCCCGAAGAAGTAGGTGGGCGCGTCGGGCCCGCGCGAGCAAGCCTCCGCTCCTCGCGACCCTTGCGGCGCTCCTTGAGCACCGCACTTTCCTCCTGCAGCTTCGTGGCAACGAGCTGCTCCAACTCCGGCGACACAATCGCGAGGCCCTTGCTCCGGTGGTTCCCCAGGGAGAGCCTCCTCTCGCCCAGGTCGTCCCCGTGGTCGCCGGCCTCCGCGATCCGCAACGCCTCCGCGTAGAACTCCTCCCAGAGCTGGAAGCGCCTCGACACCGTCTCGAACGACTCCAGGGCCGCCGCGTTGATGCCGTCCCTCGCCACAGCGGTCTCGATCAGCTCGCACAAGAAACTATGCTCCTCGACCCCAGGGTCCGTTCAAACCAAACCCAGGACCTGACGCCACCAGAAATGGCGCTGCTTGGGCGTAGTGTTGCCCTCGACGCGCGCGAGGCAGACCCAGCGCATGGTCGGGGGCCCCTGCGCCATCCACTTCTGGTTGTCACCCGTCTCGAGGAGCTGGGAGCGCTGGGCAAAACTCTGGCGCTTGAAGGTCGCGTCCGAGCTCGTCCCCAGCAGGCGGCTGTCCAGCGGCCCAGCACGTGGCGTGAGCCCTGTGACCACGGTGTCCGAGATGCCCACGGCAATGGGCCCCTCCGCCAGCTCCACCACGCCACGATCGCCCGAGCGCAGAAAGGGCTGGCCCACCACGTCGATCGGGTCGCCCGCGGCGTAGCCGAACCTCGACTCGAGCGAGATCCACTTGGTCGCGGGGTCGCGCCCCACGTCGGCGTCAGCCAAGGGGGCCAAGGGCCCCGCCTCGGGAGGAGGTGCAGGACCACCGCCTCCTGCGCTGACCAACTCATCAGCCAGCTTCAGCCCAGCCGCCATGAAGTCCGAGTAGGGGGTGTTGGAGCGGTGCTCCATCCTGAACAAGTGCTTGCCATACAACTTTACTGGAGTGCCGCCTTTGGGCCCACAGGCCAAGATCTCGGCGGCGTCTACGAAGTCCTCCTCGTGCTGGTCTTCAGTCGGTGTCAGGACCACCCAAGACCACCCGTCCGCCCGTACGCGCCCGCAGAGAAGCCTCTCGTGCCAGAGGTCCTCGTCCGGGTACCTCACGTACAGGCGAGCCCCCGGAATCAGCGATCGCAACCAGCTCGGCGCCGGCGGGTGGTCCGACATCTGGGCGACGGGCAGCCACGCGGAAGTGCACGACCAGGCACAGGAGCACGCCGACCACAACGCCCACGGCGAAGCCCGCCGCCGCGCCGACCCAGGCCGAGCCCGCGTCGCAGTGGCAGGTGGTCGGCGGCGGCGAGGTCAGCTGGTCGGGCCCGCACCGATCCAGCTGGCGCTGCAGGACCCCGATGATGTCGCGGTCCACGCTGCCCGAGACCTCGCACGAGCAGATGCAGCGCTGCCCGCCGCTGCTCCACCAGCCGACGGCGTATCCCGCGACCTGCGCGAGGACGGGCGCGGCGGCTTGCATCTGAACCTTTTGCGCCGAAAAGCTACATGAGAGGGGACGGAGACTGGCGTAATATCAATGTCGCACAGAGCTCACCATTCTCCTCCTCCTTTTCCTTCTCCTCCTCCTTCCCTCTTCCGTCCTCCGTCGCTATGACACATTTCGGTACACCCCTCACACGCTTCGTGGCCACATAGGGAGCTCCACCGAAGGTCCCATTGGCTGCGTTCGCGTTTTGGCCGCATGCGGTTCCACCCCCCGTTTTCACCCACCCAATACAGCGCTTCGTGGCCTCATAGGGAGCTCCACCGAAGGTCCCTGTGGCTGAGTTCGCGTTTTGGCCACATCTGGTTCCACCCCCCACTTCGGCACATCCAATTTGGCATTTTCACTCACCCAGTACAGCGTTTCGTGGCCTCATAGGGAGCTCAGGTCCCAGTGGCTGCGTTCGCGTTTTGGCCGCCATTTCGGCACATCCAGTGAGACATTTTCACCCACCAAATACAACGCTCCGTGGCCCCATAGGGAGCTCCACCGAACATCCCAGTGGCTGTGTTCGCGTTTTTGCAGCATGCGGTTCCACCCCCCGTTTCGGCACATCCAGTTTAGCACTTTCACCCACCCAGTACAGTGCTTCGTGGCCCCATGGGGAACTCCACCGAAGGACCCAGTGGGACCGCCTGCATGCGTCTCACACACACACACACCCATTGTGGCGTTTTCGCCTACCCAGTACAACGCTTCGTGGCACCATAGAGGGAGTTCCATCGAAACCTCCAGTGGGACCGTCCGCATGCGCCCCGAAAATCGGTTTTGGCATTTTCGCCAAAACTCAATACAGCAAATCGTGGCCCCATAGGGCGTTCCACCGAAGCCTCCAGTGAGACCGCCTGCATGCGCCCCCCACACACACAAGTTTGCATTTACGCAAACCCAATACAGCGCTTCGTGGCCCCGTAGGGAGCTCCACCCAAGCCCCCAGTGAGACCGCCCACATGCGCCCCACACGCCCAATGGTACATTTTCACCCACCCAATACAGCGCTTCGTGGACCCCTTTGGGAGCTCCACAGAAGCCCCCGGTGGGACCGCCCGCATGCGTCCCACACACACACACACACACACACACACACACACACACACACACACACACACACACACACACACACACACACACACACACACACACACACACACAATGTTGCATTTTCACCAACTCAGTACAACGGTTCGTTGCCCCAATAGGGAGCTCCACCGGCGGCCCCAGTTGGACCGCCCGCATGCGTCCCACACACCCAATGTGGCATTTTCACCCACCCAGTACAGCGCTTCGTGGCCCAATAGGGAGCTCCACCGAAGCCCCCAGTGGGACTGCCTGCATGCGTCCCACACACCCAATTTGGCACTTCCACCCACCCAGTACAACGTTTCGTGGCCTCATAGGGGGCCCCACAAACGGCCCCAGTGGTACCGCCTGCATGGGTCCCCCCCGCCCAGTGCAACGCGTCGTGGCCCCATAGGGAGCCTCACCGAAGAAGATATTAGATATTCACAATTGCGGTACCCACCTGCATATGGCTTGGGCTTCGCCAGAATAATTTGTTCATAACGTCGACCCCCAAAGGTCTCGACCGTCCCCAAGACCGTGTTTTATTTTGAATCGTCTTTTGACGGTCCCGAGGCCACGTTCGGGCCCCCCAAAGCCGAAACCTTTAACAAAAACAGCCCGCTGTGCAGTGGCAGAGCGATAGAAAAAACATCACGCGCGTGTCCGACTGTCCCACCTCTGCGCGTGGCTAAGAGGAAGGCGAGCCCCCGCCGGGGGCCTCAGCTGGTCGCGCATGGCCGACACTCGGTTTTCTGGTCGGATATTCGTCGGCCGTTCTGGACGACTAGGGCACCCCCACAATGCTCTCGACGAGGCGCGGCTGCTGAAAAGCGTCCCGAGGTTGGGCCCCGAACGCCTCTATCGTTGCCGCTGAACTCCTCCCTCTGCGCGTGGCTGAGGAGGAGGAACAGGAAAAGGAGAAAAGGAGGAACAGATGGGTGGAAAAGCGTGGCGTAGAAGAGCACGGCAGGGCATAGCATGTGATAGCATCGCGTGGCATTCCGTTGTGAAACGAAGCATCACACAAAGCATAGCAACGCAAAGCATGGCATCGCACAGCGGTGCAGATCGTAGATTGCATTGCACGCCGTGGCATGGCACCATATGACTTGGAAAAGAAATGGCCCGCCCGCCTACGAGAGGACAGGCGTGTCCGGAATGCCGGCTCCATGTCCTCCGCAACCGTGCGTGCCCGATGAGCACGCTTTCGAATGCCAAGTGCCGTCTGGAGGCGCGGGAACGAGGCCAGCGCTGCAGCGGGAGCACGATTTTGAATAACCGACGCGCGAAAACGAGGGCGGCGCTGCAGCGGGAACACCATGTTGGAAGAACCAGAAACGACCGATTGAAAAAACACATAGGACAAACCAAACAATGAAATCCAGTGTGTGAGAGGATGGGGCACCCTGCGGACAGAGTCAGAGGAGAGAGGAGAGTAGTTTTCATAATGTGTACTTGTGGGGGAAGACTCTTATGGACCCTTTAAGAAGCACAGCGTGCTGCAATTGTGGAGGAGGAGGAGGAGAGGGAGGAGGAGGAGGAGGAGGAGGAGGAGGAGGAGGTGGAAGTGGAGGCTGAAAACGATCCGAAAGGGTCAGGCATTAAATTTCCCGCGAAGCCCCCAAGGAGCCCAGAGGACCCCTGCCGAGGCCTCACGCCCTTGGCGTAGGCCGAACTTGGGTGAATCCCAAGGCTCGGTCCACGCCGACCTCGCCCAGGACGCCCGCCGGCGTCCGAGGCCTCTGCCGTGGCCGCATCGAGCTACACGGCGAGCTCGGCGCAGCGCCAGGCGGCGGCCGCCAGCTCGTCATGCTGCGCCTGCTCTCCACACCGCCGCCGTTGCGCACAGCGGCGACCGTCAACGCAGCAGTGTTCAACTTTGCTTCCCCCTCGATCTTACGCTTGACGCGGTGGAGGCAGGCGCAAACTGCCTCTTTACCTCGTCGGTCTCCTTGCCGAATGGGGTGCACTTGATGTTCCATCAGCCCCCCCATCCTCTCGGAGTCGTTCTTGGTCTCCCGCTTGTGGAACCGAATGTTCTCCAGGACCAGCACGTCTCCCTCGTTCCTGGCCGAGACCGTCTCCTCCACCTCATGGACGGCCTTGCCTTCAGGTTCGCCCTTGATGTCCTTCCTCATCAGCCCCCCCAGCATCTCGGAGCCGTTCTTGGTCTCCCCCTTGTGGAGCCGAGTGTTCTCCAAGACCAGCACGTCTCCGTCGCTCATGGCCGACAACAAGCCGTTAGGGTCGCCCTTGAATCTTGAAGTCCATCTTCGTCAGCTCCCCTATCAGCCCGAAGCCGTTCTTGGTCTCGCCCTTGTGGAGTCGAAATCTCCAGGACCAGCACATTTCCGTCGCACATGTCAGACATCAACTCTTTCACCCCATGGTTGGCCTTGCAGTCTGGGGTGCAACTGACGCCGAACCTCACTGCTCCCCGTCTGCACGGAGTCGTTCTTGGTCTCCCCCTTGTAGAACCAGGTGTTCTCTTGGACCAGCACGTCTCCATCGCGCATGGCCAACACGAGCTCCTTCACGTCGGTGGCCCTGCAGTCTGGGCCGCGAAAGATGTCCTCCATCTGCTGCACCCCGATTTTCTTCGTCACCGGTGTCGAAGTCAGCTTCTCCAACGGTTCGGCCAGAGCGCCATGGCGTCGCCCCCTCTGCTTCTGTTTCGCCTCGTTCGCAATGGTACGGAACGCCGCCACGCCCTCGCCGAAGAGCGCGTGCTCCGCGACGGTGCGCGCAGCACGGGTCCCGCTGTCGACGCGGGCCTGGGTGTCCATGTGGGCCGCCACGACCTTGGCCCGGAGGAGGCCACGCGGCCGCTGACCTCGTCCTCTATTTCCTGCTTGCACCAGACGCCATCACCGCCGCCATCGCGGGCCGCACGCCACAAGGCGACAGCCGTGGCCGCCGCGACGTGCCGCGATCCGCCCGCATCCACGGCCGCGCGGGGTAGGCCAGCCGTCAGGGGATCCATAGGACCAGGCGGGGACCGTAGCGAGCTCAACACCAGGGGCCGAGCAATGGCTTGAGCCAAAATGGTTACGGAGGAGGAGGAGGAGGAGGAAGAAGAAGAGGAGGGGGGTAGGGTGAGGAGGGGGAAGGGGAGGGGGAGGTCCAGGAACGGTTGCCCCGACCGAACCCATAGGAACGGAAAAGGGCCGAATTGAAGAGGCCTCAGGGGACCCCGAGGCCACAGAGAGAGAGAGATCAACCCATAGGTCGATCACGGTCAGCCAGCAGGCCGACCGACGCACACACGGCGCCGCCAAGACCACTCCAAGACCCAACCAACGTCGGGGGGGCGACAGGCGTCAGCCAGGGGCCGTAACCCGCTGGTGGGGGGCCCCTGGGAAAGAGAAAAGCAGCCGCAAGTCGCAGCGGCACAGTTAGTCAGAACTCGTTTCGGCTCCTCCCCCGCCACCCCCGTCCGACCCAGTCCCACCGCCTCCGCGAAGCAGAACCTCCTGGCAACTGGGCTGGGCCGCACTGTCAACAGCTGCGCCGGCGCTGACAGGAGCCTCGGGTGGCAAGGGTTTCCCACTACGGGGGCCCTTGCCTCCGTTCACTCTGCGCGCGTGCTGCCTAGTGTTCGCGAGCGAAGACTTGTTTGACGGGGGCCCAGGGCAGTCTGCCTTGAGCAGCCTCGCCGTCTTATAGACCTGCACACTGTCGCGACCGCAGATCTCACATATAGCAGCACTCCCCCAACGGGCCAACCGATGGCCAGAGCCCAAAACAGGTGGGCCCGTACAAGGGGCAGAAAACAATTGCAGGTACGACACACGGGTCCGAGCTTCCTTGCTGCAGTGCCTGCAGCGCACGGCCCCAGGTCCCAACTCGTAAAACTCATGCTGCGTCACTAAAACAGGCGCAAT